ATATATTTTACGAACACCCTTGTAGATACTCTAGCTTTTATCCATTTTTTAAAAACATTTTGTACAGTCACAAAAATAACTTTCCTCATGATTCACAAACAAGGGAGAACATAGATAACTTCAAAATACGAAAGGCACCATTTCTGAATCCATTAACAGACTCCTATGTTTGTACATCATAAGTCAGCACAACAAATAGGAGGAATTACACAGTATCAAACAATGAAGAGCTGGGGGGAAAGAAAGCAACAAATGGACTAAGAGTGTTTGGAACATAAACACAGACAAGTGGAAGGCAATCATTTTCAATTTGCTGCTTATGCACCAGAAAAAAAGATTAATTTACTTGTTCACTTTGTTCACACAGATAAAGGAACAACCAATTTTGAAAACAGAGATTTTTTTTTTTTTTTTTTTGCAGAGGGGAAGAGGGGACAGGAAAAGAGCAGCTGATAATTCTTAATGTGCTTTTAAACATTGTAAGCAAAGGCAATGGAAGAAAAGGATTTGAAGAGAACAGTCAGATAGCAGGAATAAATGCAACAGGACACAGAAGGCAGGGAAGGAAGGTGAAAGCTCCTTGATAGAAAAGACCAATGAAACAGGGGGGTACAAGGGATTGCAGTTTGAAGGAAGCACAGCAGCTTCTGCCTACAGCACAGGCAGGTAGCTGAGCAAAAGAAATGCAGTAAGCAAGGCAGAAGAGGAAGGAGGAGATACGTAGCTAATGCAAATGGTACGACAAACAGCGGCAGGAACAAAAAAGCCAAAAGCAAGGCACAGGAGGCATCATGTCATCCCAAGGGGAATTTACGATGTTGGAGCGTCATAAACCATTTGAGGAATGATCTATGTATGGCACCATGCTGGAACCAAGGGAAGCAGCTGTTTCTCTTTCCAGTACAGTTATATAGCAGAAGTAGCCAAGAGGGACAACTCCTAATGCCAATGTATAAAATGATAAAAAGGCACAGCACATCGCATTTTTCATCACAAAAATAGTTACAAGGTCGCATTTCCCAAACCTCCATTTACAGATCACTTGTTACCCTCCTGAAAACACTACAGCAAGAGCAAGGCACATTACTCTGCAACAAGAAAAGCTGCACAACTCCATATAAGCACGCCCCGAGGTAGGGAAGAGCAGAGATGTGTTTGTGGTCCTACGCAAAGGCAGCTCTCGATAGATTCTTCCCATATGGATGACACCTTCCGGCATGCACATATGCCAAGTGTAAAACATTAGCTGCCTCTGAGAGCACCAACAGAGCTGCCAGCTGCTCTTTAACAGCTTTCCCAGCTGAGCAGGGTCAGTGAGGGTGGAGAGCAGCTCCTGCTCAGCCCAGAGCCCCTGCATGCACGCCCTGTGTGCCTGGGCAAGGCACAGGTTCCGGGAGGCTGCAGGAGTAAGGCAAATAACAGTGTGCTTTTCCCAGAGTTAGTTTACATGTCCCTGTGCTGCGGGAGCCAGCTGGTTCCCAGCCAGCTAGATTAATGACAGCATGATCCTCAGGCAGCTAGACAAGAAATTCACTGAAAAATAAATATAGAGCTGCCCTTTCAGGCACGCTTGTTGAAACAGTCCCTGAATTGAAGGCACAATTGCTGGCAATTCAGAGCCCGGGCTCCAGGCGGCCCCTCTGCAGCGTGCCTCGCCGTGCGCGGCACCAGGGAGCCGCTTGCAGAGCCACAGGAAGACGCAGGCTCAGCTCCCACAGCCTTGCCTGATGCCACCAGTTTGTGGCATCGCTGCACAACTTCCCCACATGGCTTCTTCCTGCCCACAGAGTTGCACAAACACCTCGTGCAAAAGAGCAGAAATCTGTGTTTTAAACTAGATTAAATGACCAAACAAAGCATTTCCCCAAGGCAGCAGCCTCTTAATTAACCCCAACCAATGTCCTCAGCTGCCCACTGCAGCTGAAGCAGAACTGATGGTTGTTTCTCCCTCCACTCCATCTGCCCGTCATTCCCAGCCAAGCTGTCAGCCAAGGGAGTACCCGTTAAGGGTGCATCAGATAATTCTGCCTGACCCAGTAGGGAGGAAAGCTGCCACAGACCATCCTTCCACATCTTCTTTATAATCATGTCTGTGAGCGGGAAAGCACACAAAGATTATGGTGGAGTATGATAGAAGCAGACCATGGAATTACATTCTATGGAAGTTTATGCTTCTGGTATGGCATAGCAGAAGAGGAAAAAAGTTATTTTTGGTGGGAAACGTTTCTTCTGTTTTCATTTTTTTTTTTATTCTGTAGAATAAGAAGCATGAAGCTGCTTTATGAAAGCTGCCTCAAGCCACTCATTCAGCTCCAGAGGCAAGTGAACTAGCACCCTTCCTTGTACACATTGTGCTGGAGATTTGTCCAGCAAAGGTTGTATTGCAATTCTTTCAGTAAAGAACAGCAAATAAAATACTTTTTGGACTGGAAACTAGTGAGAAGCTAGTCCTGTAAAAGTAATAATTGAGAATGACCACAAATCCATGAATTTACTTATTCACCCAGTACAAGTAAGAGATTATTTCACATGAGCACAATTACTACATTGGTTTTCAAAACCAGGATAGCTGCATTGGTACCAGAACCCCAGACAACCTTCTGGAACCCATGTATGCACGATGTACATACATGTCCCACCAACACCAAGCGTGCAGTTTTTTCCAGTACTGGTCAGATTAATACTAAAATTAATGAGTTTCTGTTGGATGATAAATGCTGATAAGCTTTTGGTAAGAGGGGACCTCATTCACAGGGGGAACAGAAATGAGTCTTGCTAGACTATCCAAATGAACTGGGTTTCCATAAAGGAAACCAAAGCCTTTGGTTTCCAAAGTGTAATGATCACCATAAAATATCGATATGCTCTTACAAGATTTTGGCTGCAAGGATCTAGCTGATGGGATTTAAGATCCGTCATTCAAATTCTGGGGTTGATTCCACATTCACCCCCTATTTCCTTTCCTGAGGTGTAAAAGCACATCTTTTCAGATTAGGCATTCCTTTCAGAGATTGTTCCTACGGGACCCATACTATCGATACATTCCAGTCTTCTGCACATGCACAATATCCACTGAAATCTCAAAACAGTATTTTATGCTTGTTTGAGAGTGATGCAGCAAACTTAAAAACAATGACACATCCAGATGTAGCAGAAATGCCCTCTGTAGCCATTTAACTCCTCCTACAATATCATCCCTATACTGTGCAGCTTTCAACAGTCATTGAATTTCCTCTAAAAAGCTATGTATTTCAAGTCCTTGATGAAAAGGCAGTTTCTTTTTAAAGCCATACAATTTATAGCTTACCTGCTCAAGTCAACCTGATGGGAAAAAGGAAACAAAACAAAACAATAAAAAGCATTTAAACAGATTACACCGAACACAGCTCTAGAAAAATTGCTTTGCAAAAGTACCTTTGGCATATTTGACAGGGTGGAAAGTTGCTCATCTCTCTTGATCTTGATTAGAAAAGTAGCTTTAAATGCTGGTTCATCAAAGCATGGAAAAGCAGACCTTGCTGCCAGAGGCTCAAACTGAGTTGCTGCAAGCCACCTAATGAAGACAGCAGAGGAGAGCAAGTTAAAAAACATGAAAAGGAGAAATGTCAGTTTCTTTATGTTATCGAACAGTTGTGTTCCTACAAACACCTTTGATAGCATGTTATGGTAGAAGTTTGGTCCAGTTAGACTGCTTCATTAGGATCACGAACAAAAGATTTAAACCAACTGCTGGGTTATTTGAGGGTTTATCTGCTTCTCTGTGATTTTGTTTTCTTAGCTTATACCTGGAACAACACAAAACAACCACCAAAACATAAGCCAAACAGTTGCAAGTGCCTCAGTAAGAAGGAACAAAACTTAAAGCAAACTGAGAAACTAATTTAGTAGGCGTGCCCACTAAATGAATGTTTTGAAACCCCAGGGAAAGAAAGGACACAGGAAACGTGCACCCAACCACCGAGCTTCCTCCTCCAGCAGCTCCCACAGTTAACCAGCCCCGTCCCCGCGCCCTGGCTGGCCCGTGCACTCGTCTGCCTTTGATCCAACAGCCCGTTTTACCAGAGGAGGAGCACATCATCTGTCTGCCAGAGGCACACGTTCCCTCTGCCCAAGGATTTCGATATTAACTAGTTGCAGAAATTATGGCTTTTCCTAGAGGACATCTTCCAATTGAACTCTACAAGCTGAGTCTGGGAGCCCAAAAAGAAGGCTGCCCAGTCTAATCTAGTTAAGGGCTAAATAGCCAAGAGAGAATTGCAGCTCCAGTTGCCTCCTTTTTTTTATTTATTTTTATTATTTCCTCTAAACCTACAGCTAAACTGCCCACAAGTTTTTGTTGTTGTTACCCCCTTCCCTCAACAGCTTTTCTTTTTGCCCCATGGAGAGAGAGAACTTATTTCAGATTTTCACTCCAATGCTTTTGGATCTACAACTTTTCTGAAGAGTTCTGAGGAGTTGCTCCCTCCTACTATTACTAACATTTGCCTCAATTTCTGCTTTTGTCTTCTCACTTTACTCACTATACTTTTGCATAAACATATATAGGGCTCAACCTTTTTTTTTTTTTTTTTAAAAAAAAAAAAACACTCACACCTGGCAATAGTGAGTCATCTTTCCATTTGATACTTTTTACTACTTTTGTTGCAATGCAAAGAAAATCCTTCAAAAAGAAGAGACTTGTCTATAACAAAATATTTTTCAAGTTGAAAAAGCAACTTGATAGTTCAAGTTTTAAATTGAAATTTAACAAAAATATATACCCTTGTACCTTGTATTTCTAAAACCACTGACATGCAAAGTGCTTGGAAATAAAAAGGAGCAAGCAAGGCAAAGGACATACTGGTAATAAAACCTCTTCAGATACCTTTTCTGCTTATTAAAAACACACTAGTTAAAGGGCATACTGTATCCTCTCCCTGAATAAAAGTACGTACTGCCTCACTGAAGGGGGAAGAAGAAAAATACTCTGCCCATGACCCATCACTGACAGATCACCTTTTATCTCTGCCCACGGATGCATATCCTCTTTCTACTATACTAAATACATGGGTAGAAAACCTTAAAGATTCAGCTACATCAAATTCAGAAGAAATATGGAAACACAGAAAAGGGGCTATTTCAAATACTTCATATGCTTTTTGCCTTCTGGACTAATACTGCAAGGACTCTTACTGCACTCTTAATGTCATTTCTCTTCATATTTCATGGGAATGCATCTCTTGTAATGTTTGTGATAAGCTACTTTCCTCTGACAACATTTCATTTCATCCTGTGGTAGTGCTCTTCTGATGTAATCTACCCCGGTGATTCTTTATTAGTAGAAGCATTCCCATGACAGAAAGGCAACCTTTGGCACTTCCTTTGTAATGCAAGAGTAATGAGGCTATCAATGATTTTCCAAACGACAAAAGATTATTCCCACTCAACAGGCAGAGGCTAGAACATTTTACTGCATGCTCAGGAACAACCTTTTCAAAAGAGGCTATGGAAAGCATTTTCCTCCTGAACAGCCACCTATGTCTGCACCTCAGTCAGATCCATATTTGTCAGACACAGGCAAACCAAATAGATTGGTAATCCTTCAAACCAGATTTCTTTCTTTAAATGCTCGATCCCTTAAAAAACAACCCCCTAGATTACAGCCTGTAAGAACCAACAGAACCACATAAAGTAGAAATTTCTTCCCTTCTATCTCAGTTACTGATCAGTTTAAAACAAGACTATGCGCTACAGTTCCTCTGAACACACCAGTTTTTAGCAGCACCGGTTGCTTCCAAATATGTGCAAACTTTTACTACACTTCAGCAGTATATTACGGATGCCCTTGATCTATTCAAGGGGAGCTTTTAAGGCACACTCTACGCAGTTTTTAGAAGAGTTATTTAGATTTTAGTATAAAAGTTCTCGTTAGTATTGCTTAAAGAGAGGCCTGCTGATTCTAAAACAAAGTTTGCTGTATTTTTATTTAAAAAGTAACAGCAATACTTCTTCCTTACCCTGGAGCACCTTCCTGATGGTCATCTTTCACCGAGTAGCTTTTTTTGCTTTGGTTTATGTTTCTTGTTTTGGTTTATGTTTCTTTTTTTGAAAGACAAGCTATGATTGGGGGATCGGAATAATCCCAGCACAAATGAAATACAGAAATTAGTTCTCAATAGAGAGAGAAAAAATTATGATCAATTTTTCCACACTTCTGCTGTATTTTTCAAGGAATCTCTCTCAAAAAAAAAAGTTAGTGACAACTCAGCTAACTGCCTAGTTTTAAGTCAGGAAAAATGAATAAAACCTCAGTGTGATCCTCTCTCCAGAAGACAGTTTCAAGCTTACGTTATCAATCTGTAAAAGGTCAGGCTAGTGATCATTAATATTAAATTCTACATTCCCTTTTCAGGGAACAAAATCTATTTCTTAATACTTTGGGCATTTTCATACACACTCTGATAGCAAACTTCATAGAACTGAAAACACTTTTTTTCTTGCTTCTTTCTCAATGTCACATTCCTTCCCCTCTTTTATTTTTTTATATTTTAAGTGTTACCATTTTTGGAACAAACTAATAAGTGTTTCTAGACTTATTTTATTTAGCAGTTGTTTTGTAATCTCTTCTTGGCTGTCATTTTATTGTCAAGAAATGAGCCCGAACTTGATCCAGACTGCTTTCCAGTCTTTCACTTGTTGGGTCTGTCTTTGTTCCCAGAAGACCTGCAGAGACTGTTATGTTCTAACAAGGACATAAAAAACTACCACAGCTGTCTACCAGTACAGAAAAATGTACTACACTAACAAGGAGGCTACCCTGCCTTAATGAACTCACCCACAAAACACATTTTTTTAAATGCCAACTTTAATCATGGATAACTTCTCCCTCCTTTATAACTGATCTTTGCATAGTGTCAACAGCACAGTGAAAAAGTTAAAGGATTTTTTAAGGTTCTCATTTGTTAGAGATTAAAGATCCATTTAGTCCCATGGGGATTTATTTTAGAGACTGAACATTCAACCCAAACCTCACCATCTCTCTCTAAACACAGTTACCAAAATCGTAGGCAACCTGCAGAAGCAGCAGAAATGCAGACATGTTTGTGGGCATACCTTTTCTTAGATTTCTCATCCTCATAAGAAATTTTGTAAAAACCATAGTAGGTATCTGATAAATTAGCTGAAAACTCCATGGTGAGGGTGTAATTCTGGCCTACAAGGAGAGCTTCAGGAGCCATGACTGCAATCTGGTCATGCAGTGGGTATTCCAGGAATTCTACTGGCTTTGCTTGACTCCCTCCCGCAGAAGTAATGGTCGCCTTGGTGATATTAAGTCCTGAGCTGTGAAGCACAATCTTCCAAGTCACCTGGATGACATTAACCACAATCTTCACAGAACCTGTAAATTTCAGAGTAGTTAGGTTCGGCTGCAAGTCGAGATCGTAATGCAGCGGTACAACGTCAGTCGGAAGCCTGATTTTTGCCCACGGAAATACTTTTCCATTAGTTGCCAACGGGTATATTAGTTCCATTGTATGATTTTTTTTATGGCAGCCTTCTTTGGTAAAGGTACATTTGGGAAGAAGATAAATCGCCATTATTACTGAAACTGCAATCACAAGGACAACTGTGCAAACCACCATGGTCCTCGTAGAGGGCACCGAGCATGATCCATCCGGACTTTGTCTATAGCCAGCCATGTTATTTCGGAGACCCGAGCTTCTGTTCATGAAAGACATTCCCAGCAATTTTGCTGATGATTCGTAATCCTCTTCATCATCATCCATTTCATGCTCTCCGAGGCCGCGCACCAAGAGCCGGGAGCTCCTTGGTTCATACTCCACCTCATCAGGCTCCAGGGGATGTAAGCAAGGCTCTTTCGCCAAATCAACCACATCAGGCTCTTCTTCAAACATGCTGTTTTCAATCATATTTCTGGGCAACTGAATTCGATCTGCAACAGGAAAGAATGTGTGTTACCAGATGCATGAAATGAGTGATTATAATGCCTCACAGATAACCGAGTCAGAGCAGGAGAAACACTTAGCAGCAAATCCTTTCAGGAGCTCTGCAGTTTTCTCTCTTAAGCCTGTTTTCAGAGAGCACGTCTATGCTTTTCTGCAGTTTTAGTTTGATTAGATAATACCTGTAATTGCTGTAATTTAAGATGTTTCCCTTGCGCGTAGTTGGTTACATCTCACATCGTGACTGGGGATCAGCTACATTACTGCATAGCACTTCCATGACACTGAGGTCACTGCCTTGGCTAAGCTCTCTCTATCCCAATATCCCATATTGTATTTTAAAATAGTTAAGATAGAAAATTCTCTACGTTGCAGGATAAACCAATACGCTTTTAAAGGTGTTCTGAATATGCTAGTTACTGAGTTTTTTATTAAAGGAGAGAAGGTGTTCACCGATACACTCATAAGAGATTATTTTCTTAAGAAACAAATAAACAAAAAACACTTTTCACTCAATTCTTTAAAAAAGTGCATATTTTCCTTACACAAAGAGGGAAATATAAAAATTACAATTCTAATTGATCTCATCATTTAAGACACAGCTCACACAGCACTTAAAGTACTTCCTTCAGATAAGAAACTAGGTCTGTGACAATCAAAGAAAAGCTTGATCTGTCTTTTTGTCTTTAACAAGTTGTCTTTAAAATTTGTCTTTAACAGTTGAACAAAAGCTCAAATTCATCTCAATTTTAACAAGTATCAGATATTCCTCCTGTTTAAAATGTACTTATATTTTAATCAAACTTCTGATCAGGTGACATTTCAGCTAATATGCTCACTGAAAAGTACAGAAAAATTAAAAACACTACGGGGAAGAGGAATATAGAGGGAGGTGGCCCTGGACACCCAAAACTAGATTACTTAAGAGCAAGAGGCTTATTTTTATACTGAGTCCATATTCAACACTCTGTAAAAATCTTACAAAGCATTTTTATTGCTTTTTGTTAGGATACCTCTATGTTGTCTGGAGGAGAATGTAATAACATGAATGAAAAGGCCCTCAATATTGCACAAATTTCTTGCACAAGAATTCTCACTGCTAACTTTTTAGACCCTTGTAATTTGTTAGTAATCTGTATTAGGTTTCTTCTAACAGCTTCTTTCTAAGTGAGTAAACAAGTTTTGCCAAACTGCATGAGTTCAAAAACAAAACTAAGCTCCTTCAAGCATGAAAGCAGCCAAAAATTACATCAAGATTATCATTCACGGTCAAAAATTTAACAATGAGATATATAAAAGTGTCCTTTGATATTAGGAAATACTAAAAAGCAAGTTGATTTTTAATAGTTTTGACAAGAATATAGCTTTTTTTTTTTTTAAAGAACTTAACAGTGATCTATAGGTCAAAGCATCACTGCACCTATAATAGCATTTTAAACAAAAAATTAGCCATCTAAGTTCCCATCCAATATTTGAGGTTAATATTTATATATAAAGCCATTAGATTATTGATAGTTTCAGGAATCTAACTGTATCTGTCTGGTTGATAGGATGCAAGCCTGGAAACAGAAAAGCAGAAGAAAAATAAAATAGGCTGGGGCTATGGGTCAAGTTTTGGTGTGGGAGAGGTTGTTTTTTGATGATAGGTTTCTATATGACTGAAACTTTCAAAGACGAAAAGAAAATACCTTCAAGAAAAGAGGCAAGGACTTTTTTTTCCAAACCACATATACCAAACCCTCAACATCATCTTTGTAACTAAGAAGATTTCCTGTTTAAAGGCCACAAACTCTGTAAACTTCAGGGTTGGCAGCCATAACACTGAGAAGGATGGAGCAAGGACCATGTTCTATCCGCTATGCTTTTCTCTTTGTGTGATATCCCACGACATTAAATTTCTGAAGATACCTTAGTCTGCCAGTGCTTTCAATGTTAAACTGAGAAACCATTCTGATCCATTCAAAAAAGAAATAACTTCATAAATAGGCATCTTGCATCAAACCTGTAAACCCTGGTAACTTTACAAAAGGTCAAGCTCAAATGTTTCTCTGTAAAGATTTAAAATAAAAATGGAAAAAGAGAGAGAGAGGAGGGGGAAAAAAAAAAAAGAAAGAAAAAAAATTCCACACACTAAGAGGTCCTACCCTTACAGAAACCAGTAAGAAGTGCACTGGTCAAACTCAAAAAGCAGCACAGAGACAGATTCAAGCAGGCAGTTTTCTGGGATTTCAATATATCTTCTCGCCCCTTGTCCCAGTGCTGTAGTTACGACTAGGGTCACAGGATAATTCAGGTTGGAAGGGACTTACGGAGGTCGTCTTGTCCGACCTCTAGCTGAAAGGGGCGTCTGAAAGTTGCTGTCCTTACGGCATCTTCCCGTAGAGTGTTCACGTTCAGGCCTCTAGGCCCAGCTGCGGGTGAGCGGTGCAGTACTTTTGTCTCAGCATTGTAGCATGAGTATCAGACAGACTGGAGGCCTTGCATAGCAGGGAAATATAGGGTAGAGTTCCAAAGCAAAACAGATGGATAAACTAGTCGGGGGGAAAAACGTGCAAGGAAAGCTTTTTTAAAAAAAAAAAAAAAATTCTCCTACCCAAGGACAGTTCATAGAGAATACCTTCAACAACTTATGGTGGCTTCTTGTCCATTATCCTCTGAGCTGCTTGCTTTTCAAAACTGCTGGCTAATGTCAGCCGCATTTGGCAGCGCACTCAAGGACATCCCAATTTCTTAAAGGTCCCACCCCAAACCCACCCCAAAAGAATCAGCTGCTAGCAGAAGAAAGACACATAAGTCAACATCTGTAGGAAAGGCAGGTATTGAAACTCACATCTTAACCACTCCAAAAGGTAGCAGTCAATCAGTACAGAGCTCCAACCCCAGCCATGGCACCTGCTGCCTCATGGCCAGCGAAAGAGGTAGAAGACAGGGAAGGCACTGCAGAAGGAAGGAGGAGAAAGATAACACAGGACATAAGTCTGGCAGAAAGTAGGCTTCATCAGCACTGTTGCTCACAGAACTTTTTTTTTTAAATAAAGAATTTATTATCTGTTTCTACTAAAGCAAACTACTTAAATATTTTCAAAAACCATTCAGACCTTGCACGTGTACACTAACAACTCTTCTGATCAAGAAGAATTATACGAAAATCTGAAAAAGTTAGGACAGAAAAGTGAAAAAGAAAATTAATTTCAAACAAATCACTTTTAATCCTGAGACACATCCACGTCTAGAGAAATAACAGTTAAAAATGAATTTCTATACAGCTGTTCACAAACACTGGAAAAAATGAAGGCCTTGGATATTCTGTACTGACAAGAAAATACCTCCTCAGCCTATCAGTTTGATCATGGACTCTGAGGTCAGAACCTTACTCAAGATCAAGGGCATCGCCCTTGCTCCCACTGGAGAGCATCCCAAGTACCAAAAGGTTGCTGGAATCACTTACGCTGAGATATACATGCACACAAGTATGGAAGTCAGGTTACTTTTTGGAGAGCAACCATGGCACAATTACTTACAGCATTTATACTTGGAAAAGCTCTGAACTTGTTTGTTTCCTACTGGTTTACTGTGATCTGTAACATGACAGTGTGACTCTTCGGCCACAGGGATTGAACTCTGAAGACCGCTTGGTTATATCCACGAGCAGCTGCAGCAGGAGCTACAAAGCCCATAGGAAGAGCATAAAAGGTATTCTTAGCTGAAGCAAGGAGTAAAGCGGCAGCCTCAGAAATATGATCGCAACCATCCTATTTCACCCTCTTCTTTCATACCAGGTACAATGACAGAGCAGCATCCAAACCTCAGGATATCACACTGAACGAAGGTTAATTTGGAGATCTGAGCAGGTTAGATTCAGATACCAATGAAAGGATCTAAAAGGCAGGAAAAATAAGTATAATTCTGAGACTTGGGAAGTTGACCTTACAGAAAAGCCATTCCCAAGGTTACAGCACCACAGCACTCACAGAGCAAGTCAAAGAATCCATGGTCCACAGTTCAGAAAACAATGAACTGAGTTGCTACCATAAACGACAAACATTCTGTTGTCATACACAGCAACTTAAACCTAAATTCTTACTAAACAACACCTGGTGAATCTGCTTAGTGAGAAGGTGAATAGAGAGGTAAAAATAGGCATTTGATTGGGCTTTATGCGGCTCCTTTTAGCACTAATGAAATGTCACTTTACCTTTGATCTGGGTTCTTACCCTTCAAGAAGTCCAGAGGGACAGCCAGACCCCTACAGCAGCTACAAAGTTAAATACACCCATGGGAAAGTGCATTGGCAAGGTTTCCCCCCAACAAATTCTTCAGGGTGCTTTCATAATCTGCAAATTAATAATTCCTACCAACTTCATTCATACATGATCTGTGTCACATCGAGCAGTGAGCAGTCCAAATACTGATAGTATGGAAACAAACCCGGGGAGAGATGTGAGGTTAAAAACTAAACAAGGTAGACAGCAATCCAGATAGACAGCCTTCCTACACTGCAAAGCTGGATGAAGACCGACATCTTCCTGAAGCAGATGTTTATGAACAAATTTCTTTAAAGGAGCTTCTTGCAAAACAGAAAATGCGTTACAGCACAACACCACATCACAATATCCAGGGACCAAAACAAGCCCAGGCTCTTATCTTCCACTCTTAGACATGAAATTTGGATGTTATTCACAGCAGGACAGGCCAGAACTTCAAAACACCTGCTGCATGCCCCACATCCTTGGTAACTGCCCTGTATGTCACACATCCAGGTAGTAAAATTTAGTAGCGTGACTTAAGGCCCACAAAGCAGGGAATAATTAATTACTCTGAACAAACTGAGTATAAGCAGGTCACTTTTCTTGTTCCTATAAAATACACAACTTTCATGTTTTACACCCTTTTGCAAATAGGTCTTGTAAATTAAAAAGCAACTTTACAACTTGATTCAAGCTCCATATATAACCTGAGTTGGAACTCTATCATGCAGGGGCAATTAGAGGGTGCTGCAAAGTTTCAAGGTATTTGATGCAAGTACTTATTTGCTTCAGAAGAGCTACATTCCCATTCAAGAGGAGAACAAAAGTGTTCCCTTGCAGTATAAAAGCCTCAGACAACAACACATAACGCATCCCAATGCTTCATGTACTACACTGAAGCATGTTACCACAATGTTTTCGGAATCTGTCACAATTATTCTGTAGGCTGCAAAAAGTCATTACCTCTTTATTTTTCTAAGGATTTTCCTCTAAAGATAACAATAATTTTTTAATGCTAAAAGTACAGACTTCTTCCTTGGAAAAGTGAAGCAAGTAATGTTTTGGTGTTCTATTTAAGAACTGAAATCTCAGCACTCAAAGTCCTTACATGAATTTAATGACCTGTTTCTCAAATTCACGGCCATTTAAAGTGCGTGCAGAAAACACCGTATTGCAATAGTGTTTTTTCCAGCTTTCCATATTTTAATCAACTAAAAAAAGAAAAAAAAAAGACCACGCAACTGCAACGCAAGCTAACTTATACGTCAAGCTAGTGAGGACCAAGGGCTAGCTTATCATTGCTTTTTGAAAAAGTACATTATTTTTAAAAAACAAGCTGGCATTATGCAGCATTTTTACAAAAATAATAATTACAGTAACACTCCTGGCATTTTGTAGCAACCAACTCCTGCTGCAGAGATGTGTACAGGGAAGTATCTGTCAACCTGGAATAACCTGTAAGTCAATCAGCTATCGGGTAGTATTTTGTCCGAGACCAGCAGACAAGCAACAAACCCAAGAGCAGACCAAGTGTCCAAGATCTGGAAGAAGGATGGATCCCTCAGAACATCAACAACTTCAGCTGCACTTAGATACTGGTAGAGAGGGCACGGAGTTAGTGCTGCCCAGAAATACGCAGTCACTGACCTGTGCATGTGTTCCGTCTTCTTCACTAGCACTCCAAGCACTGCTCAGGGATGAAACAGCAACTTGCTTTACTGCCTGCTGCGGAACTAGGACACTTTATACAGAAGAAACACCACACACCCCCATTCACCCTCATGTACACAGACACTGACGAAGTGATGCATATTCCAGGGAAATGTGTCAATTTAATAAAACTAGATAGTTTCATCAATCTGGAGTATAATTGATTCAATATTCATCATCCTTCCCTTATTATATTTTGACAGAGAAAACAGAATAGCAGAATAATTTTTTCTTCTGCTGTGCTAGCAGCAAGAAGAAACTTTTAATGATCAGCTCGTTGATCCACTTTGATTAAAATGATATATATATACATGCATACATATTTCTCCATGGCAATCACGGCAAGCAAAGCAGAATGCAGTTCTTGTTCTAACCTCTCAAACATCACAGCTCAAGCTACGCAACAAATTTATACACACTGAAATAGAGTACTTGGCTATGCAGCTCGGAATTATTTTTTGACATAAAAATCAATGTGAAGAATGATTTCAGAAGAGCTGCAGGTGTTGAAAAATAGAGATAAATAGGCTAATCAGGGCACAATGCTGTTACATACCTATTATGTCAACTTAGAAAACACTTGCCTTTTCTTAACAGAAGTAGTTGCAGACCAAATAACAAGTCCTATAAATAAACCACATGGAATTTCTCCCTACTAAATAGAGACTGGTTGTATTTGCTAAACCATGCAACGGGGTGGGGGAAAAAAAGCAGCTCCACAGTATTTTTTTTCCTTTAAAGACTTATTTAATGTTCTTGCATATTGAGTGGTCTAAATGCCACCTTTTCTAGGAGAGGTGAAATCTTTTCAGAAGAATCAGGAAGTTCAGTGTGCATGATTCCCAATACACGAATAGACCTTTGTTTATGGGATTGGAAGAAAAGATTTACAGACCTTCCAAGTGCAGCATGTAAAGCAGTAAGAATACTGCAAGGAGACAGACGTACCCTCTTCGGAACAGTAAGACAAGTTATAACGTGGAACCTGATATTCCCTTATTTGGGCTTTGGGACTAGTAACAAAGGAAATAAGTAAGGTGATGAGGGCTAAGCAACTCATGTACTCATGCATATACAGACTGCAAATGCTGGTATTCTTTATATTACCTAGCCCACGTCCATATTATCTAATCCAAAATTTAGATTATACCCAAAATGATGTAATAATTTTTTTCAGCTATTCTTGCAGCATTTTTAAAAGGCAGTAAAATCCAAGCTTTGGTCTATGCACACATAGTACTGGAAGTAAAATTCCAATACTATGAAAATTTAACATTGCTGCCACAAAACCTGATGTTTTCTTAAGGAGAAAAAAAAATAGAAAACAGACAAAGCAGAGGAATTTGCCTCATATAGTTTGTCGGAATGCAAGGAGGAGGAAAACAAGCTATCAGGTGTCACTAAGCCATACCCAGCAAATTGTAGAAACTTCAAATAACAATTGTTGCAGCTACGGGTTCCGCCTGGGCGGCCGAAGGAAAGCTTCAAAACACACATTCACTTCTTGCAGTTGCCAGAGCCGGTACACAGAAGCAATCCAAAGAAAAACAGACCTAAATAATACTGGAAATTTCTACATAAATCCAAAGGGTGAGAAATATTTCATCAAGTGCAACTGCTTGATCAAGGGAGATTGCTTTCTTCAGCCTGTTAAAAATCAGTAGCTGTTCTTGCTGGTGGTTTAAAGTACTATCACTGCAAAGCAGGGTTAGAGTTAAAAATAACAGAAGCAAGAAGGTCCGATTTAGATACATGTAACTTGTTATCCAATATCTTTTTGATAGTATAAAGGAAAAAAGTGGCTTTGGCTTGCTAAGAAGTAGTGGCTTAACTGTTAAAACTTCAGCTAAATATCTCAACTGGTAGTTTTTGAATATGCAGACTTAAACACAATCATTGTTAGCATTTCCATAGCAAGAAATTTAGTATTTTTCTAAATTTAATGATAAAATAAGGCCAGAAACCACAGTTAACACTATTTATGAACTAACTGCATAATCAGGTAAGTCAGAAATACATTTCAGAAAACCAGGAGAGAAG